TATTAAATTTAATACGACATGCTCGTGGAGCATCGTCACCGTCGCCAGCAGGAGAACGGACGACGCCGTGCCCATTTCCCGAATACACATTTTCGTATACTTCGTTTGAAGATTGAAAATTTTTAGATTATTTATTAAGTAGGTGAATAAAACATTGATTTTAATTTTTTAATTAATAAAGAATATATGCATCGATATTAAGTGTTCCCAACACTGTTCCAACTTATACCTAAAGTGACGTGGCGCTGGAGGTAAGTTGAAAGTTCAGAATCTTGGCGGTTAAAGGGTTAATAAAAGCTATACGCAACCATTAGTCCACAGGGGTCGGATGGCAAGCTATTTATAATATGTTTTTCTTTGTGGTGACAATTACAGAAAACATTATCAATACAGGTGGCGGTATGTTATCCTTGTTGGTTCTAAAAAATCATTTTTCAAATTCAATGATCCAAATAAATATAAAAATAATAAATCCAATAGATTCTGATAATTAGGTGGCCTATACACACAGACAACAACATGTCTATCCAGCTCAACACAGGACGACTCAATGGTGTGTTCAACTCTGTCAGTGCTACAATATCTTTCCTTCCTTTTGATTTAATACTATTTATTATTATTTTACTAATATTAAGAACCCACCATGTAACATATGCTTTCTACTGAAATTACTAACTACATTGTAATTATCTAAATTTAAAGATATTAGTTGGTCGTCCTTAAACCAATGTTAGATCTACACGTAGAGTGGGGCTGCGTTAAAATAGCTTCCACATCTCGTGCTCGCACCAGGTTTTTAAGGAACTAACGCACCGGCGAACGAGCGGCTCAACGAAATCGACTAGAATGTATGCTAAAAGTGTTCGTAGCAATGTTTGGCTCGAGTCGTTGTTCAGTTCGACAAAAACACGGCTTGATGTTCTGTTACATTACAAGTGAATGCTCAGATCTATCAACACTTTTTTAGGCAAAGAGGCTGTATGTCCTATTAAATTAACTCTTGCACTTAGGTAGTAGTCTAGTAGCATACCGCAATTTATTGCAATACAGCCCAATAATAGGTTTTAAACAGAACGGCTCTGCACCAGGGTTGCATCGACTATTTGCCGGAGTTGGTGCATCCGATCGTGGCGTGCTTCAGTGAGAGCGAGTCGCGCGTTCGGTACCAGGCCGCAGAAGCGCTGTTCAATGTGCTGAAGATCGCGCGCGGCGAGGCGCTCGCACACTTCCCGCTCGTGTTCGACGCACTCGCCCGACTGGCCGCCGACCCCGAGCCGCAGGTCAAGCAGGGCGCCGAGCTACTCGACAGGCTAGTCAAGGTAATTTATTTATTTAAAAACAGTAGGTACCACTTTCACCGGTGCGGCGACAGTTGTGATGAGTCCCAAGTTCCTAACTCGACATCCCACTCGACTCGAGTCACTCGACCAACGGGGCAAGGCAGGCAGTCGAGACTGTAAAGAAATAATACAAGTTATAACTGACTCTAGCGATCCGTCTCGAATTATGAATGTTTCCGTGCGAGAATGAACCCATGACACGTTGCGCCGGTTGTCCAGGATATAGTGACGGAGAGCCAGACGTTTGAGTTGGCAGCCTTCATTCCGATGCTGCGCGAGCGTATCTACACGCGCAACGCGTTCGGGCGGCAGTTCATCGTGTCGTGGGTGTCGGTGCTGGACGCCGTGCCAGACATCGACCTCATCGTGCACCTGCCCGACCTGCTCGATGGACTCTTCAAGATGCTGGACGACGCCAACACCGAGATCAGGAGGATGTAAGCATATCACTTTGGAAGTTGTTTAGCTATTAGATTGTTAATTGCTATTTGGTACCGGGACAGTACTTCATTTCGTCGTTTGTGTATGTCCAGGTGTGACGTCCAGTTAAACGAGTTTTTAAGAAGTATAAAAAAGGATCCTTCACGAGTAGATTTTCAAGCTATGATCAACATATTGATCACACATGCGCAGTCGCAAGAGGAAATGTTACAGGTACCAATAATATTAATTTTAAAAAGTAATAATAATAGTTCTATATATAGTTGCAGCTCTGAACAAGCTCTCAATAGTATGCATATATTATTTAGTTGTGTGTTGTTCAAGTTCCCATTTATTTGGTTTCCAGTTGACAGCAATAACATGGATCAAAGAGTTTGTCGAGCTCGCCGGCGCGACCATGTTGCCGTACGCGTCCGGCATACTGTGTGCAGTGCTTCCGTGTCTTGCATATTCCGATGAACCTCGGAAGAGTATCCTTTCACATATTTACAGACACCTTAAATCAAATAACATTATTTATTAAACAGAATACGGTACCTATTCGTTTATTATTAAAATTAAATTCACGCTAAGTAACATTTCGTTCCATGAAATCCTTAACAGCTATTTAGGCATACGTGAGACGGCGGTGATAGTAAACTTCCAGTTGATGAAACTGGTGGAGTCCGGCGAAGGGGGCGAGGCAAGAGAGGGGGGCGGTGGT